CTCCAATGGGAAGAGCGCGAGGCCGGCGGCTTCCGGCGCCGTCCCGGAAGCAGGGGCGCGGCCTCCCGCGCGACGGCCTGCCTGGGCCCTTTGGCGCGGTTGGGGCTGCTGGGTCGCGGGAGGGCGCGGCGGGACTTTAGGCGCTGGGCGTCGCAGAGGTTCACATTGCGGACCCCTCCGCCCCCACTTTGACATAGTCCACCCACGCGAAAGTGCTCGGTAATACTGAGCGTGGCCACCACCGCCATTGTGCCTCTAGTTGAGACGGAAAAAGGTTCCCTGCTTTTGAGGGGTCGCATGGCGGGGCTTCTACCCCCTCCACTTCCGTTGGCTCCCTTTGCTCCGTCCTAAACCTAACCGGTTCCTCGGGTGCGGTTTTCCAGCTACACCCCTACCCTTCCCCAGGCTCCTACCCTGGCCCTTTTCCTATGAAAACTTTCAAACAGCAAAGTTTAAAGAACGAACACCTGTTACAGTGAACGTGCTTCCCCAGTACCTAGCTCCACCGTTCACGTCTTACTCTACTTGCTTATCACATTAGTGGTCAATAAATCCCTCAGTTCATCTTCTGTTTTAATGCATTTCAAAGTAAATTTTAGGTATAAGTACACGTCTCCCTAAATACGTCAGCATGCTTATTGAATTCAGTATTTGTTTGCATTTTTCTCAGTGTAAAACTGTATGAAGAAACGTGAAAGACCAAAGCGAACATTCAGATCCTGACAGATGAGCACACTTGTGTAACCCACCTTGCAACTAAGATATACAACATATCTAAAAGCACAGAAAGCTGGCTAATGCCTCTTTCTGGTCTCCCCCCATCTTGTAGGGGTAACTGCTGTTCTCATTTTTCTCTACAATATAATCTGCTCTGGAGCTTCATATGAAAAGATCAATGCATATATACTTTTTTGGTGGGAGCGTCTTTCACAAGAAGAGTTTGAGAATCATCCATGTTCTTGCATGCATCACCCATTGTCATGGCTGCATAGTATTACCTTATATGAACATACCATCCTCTCTCCATTCTATTGATGGAAATCTGAGCTCCTTCAAGTTTGTAGTTATTACAAACTAAGCTGCTGTACCAGTCACTCAGTAAACAAGTTTATCATTTCCCTTGGGAAGATATTTAGGAGTGGTCAAAGAGTAGGCAATATGTTGAATTTTGTAAGAAACTGCCAGCCCTTTCTCCAAAATTTATCATTTTCTATTCGTACCAACAATGTAGGGGAGTTCTAGTTGGTCAACATTTGTCTTTAATTTTTTTTTTTTTTGAATTTTAGTTCTAGCCATGTGGGTGTATCTGCAGTCGTATCTCCTGGTTTTAATTTGCATTTCCCTGGTACTAATGATGTTGTACTTCTCTTCAAGATTTGCTTATTGGCCACATATTTTCTGAAGTCTGTTAAATTCCTTTTGCACCTCCACCCCCATTTTACTGGCTTGTTTGCCTTCTTATTGAGTGGTAGGAATTCCGATGCTAAATTTCTGCTCATTTTTTTTTCTACCTGGCCTGTGCGGGACATATTCACAAAGGATTTTGTGCAGTGTCATGGTAAAAATGACAACCACATTGATGTGAAGGGCCAGATGTGGATGCAGCAGGTCTGCCAAGATCAATCCCAGCCATTCAGAGAGAAAGCCTCATCTTTATCTCATTATGCCCTCTTTCTGTCCTTCCCCACTACACATAGAATAGAAGGCAGGCCATGGGCTGTTAGGCGGATATGGGTTCAAATCTCCTACCAGACTTGAATTCATAAGCATGAGTGAGATGAGCACCAATTCCCTCCTCTGTAAATTGGACAAACCTACTTTCAGAGTTGTAAGTAAGTGCTTAATAATATTAATGTTTACTCGACAGATCTATGTGGCTGTGTGGTAGGTAATGTTACCTCCATTTTACACACAAGAAAACTGAGGCACAGAAACTTGAGATGATTGCTCAAGATCACATGTGACAGAGTCAGAACTAGAACCTGCCCACCCATTTAAAAAAAGGAAGAACTGCTGCTATCATTATGGTTTTTTTGTACTCCCTTGCTAGCCATCCTTTTGAAATTGCCTGCCCCCACCATTCAAGACCCAGCCACCTCCAGAGACTTCCTTCTCCCTCCTTATAGTCCTCCGTGCCACAGTCCTCTGTGTATTCCTGCTGCAGTGCATATTTTAATGCCATCCTGGAAGAGCTCTGCTCGCTTTAGTGTCTCCACTGCCCAAGCAAGGAGGGGAGCATATAGCAGGTGCTCAGTGAGGTTTCAGTGAACAAATCTACACCATAGCACCAGGCCATGCTGTCCACCATGCTCTCATAGAATCAAGTTCTGTGCACCCCTGGGGTCTTCTAGGGACTGTCCCGCCCACCTCCCAGTTGTGGTCTCTCCCATTTCCTCTGAGGCACAGGGTTCTATGGGACCAGTCTGTCTCTTCTCTCCAGAATCTGTCGGATATCCGTCCACTCTTGGACAAATGTATGCAGCAAACAGAAGCCACTGCACTGTGGCTTCCAGATTAAAAGCTGGGCTCCTTGCCTCAGAGTTGGCTCCAAATCATTCTTCCATCTCCAAGGGCACTGTGTGACCTAGAAAACAGTCAGCTGGAGACGTTGGCTCTGAAGGCCTGCCAAATCCCTGTGGCTTGGCAGAAGAGGAGGTCATTCTCTAACCAGGAAGTGGTCCTGGGGTCTCGGCCGACCTTAGACTTCTCCAGGGAGTTATGGGGCTCATCGGTGCTAAATTGAAGATTTCCCTGTAGGCTCCCAACAATTCTACCTCTCCCGAGGGCTGTGGATTCCTCTCTTCAGGCAGAGTCCTGGCCCCAAACACCACAGATCTTAGCATCTGGTGCTACCAAGCTAGTCTAGCTTCCCATCATTTACCTTAGAGGTCCTGGGGTGACTCCAGAAGCTGAGAAATGGTGCAGAGCACTCCAGAGCTCAGGGCTACGGCCCAGAGGCTCAGCCACAGTCAGAGAGGAAGTTGAGCCTTGCTACTCCAAAGGAAAGAAGGGAGAATAAACACGAGGACAGAGACCCTGTCATCTGGCTGCAGCAAAATCACAGGCAATCCAGGAAATTCACAAAAGTTAACATGAGCCTGGGCCCTGGCCCAGCTTAGTGGATGATCTCAACTTAGACACAGAAGTTTTGAGACAAAAAGAGCACAAAACTCCCACAGGCTTCTCACTAGCATTAGGAAAAGCACTTAAAAACTGTCACTCCCAACGGCCTCCTGCGGGGTGAAATCAGAATGGGGGTATGGGAAGAAGTAAGTCCTGTCACTCAGCCTGCGTGGCACAAAGAGCTTTGAGATTTGGGCTGAAGGTTGCTGACCCCAGGGTAGTGTTTGATGTACAAAGGGAGTGCAATGATTTTCCTCTTCTAGTGTGAGAAATAACTTGATGTTCCTTAAGGCTGGGTCCTATACCTCCCTGCTTTCACTGAACATTCTCCCTGGGAAAGCTCATTCACAGCCAGGGCTTCACTTACCACCCACACGCTGCTAACTCGTCCACTCATTTTCCCAGCCCAAGTCTCTCATCTAAACCCCACACTCACGGGTCCAATTGCCCACTCAATGTGTCCTCTTGGACGTCTCAAAAGCATCTTCAACTCAACATGTCCAAAGCCAAATTTATGACCTTCCCAAACCTGGTTCTTAAACTCCATTAGGGTGAAGGAAGACTCGCTGAAGTCACTAGGCAGAAATGCTGGCACCCTTGACCCTCTTCTCACTCACCCTTCTCCCAAATCTTTTGGGGCTTACATCCTAAATATCTCGTCCTTTCCATTTTCCTACACCCCTCATCCCCACCCTTACCCTCCACTGTAGCCTGTCATCTCTTATCTAAGGGCTGAACTCTCCCGTCTCCCAGGTAGCCACTCTGGCCCCCTCCAGCCAGGATTCTACAAGGATCCTTCCAGCCAGTCTTCCCCTGCTTCTCCCCCCCTCCCATCCTTCAGCTCTCAGCTCAGATATGCTTCCTCAAGGGACACACCTCCAGATCTCCCGAAATAGGCTATTAACTCCTTCCTGCCACTAGTCCTAGCTGCAATTTTGCCTGTGGGCCTGCACTAGACTCTAAACTCCATCAGAGCAGGGACTGTGTCTCTTTGGCACTACTATATCCCCAAGGCCAGGCTCAGTGTCTTCCATGCTGAACACGGACATATTGTATTTAACAACGAACGCCATTTGTTGTTTATACAAGTTATGCTCATGCAAGTTAAGTTAACCACTGCCACTGTCCTCTGGGCCACGATTATCTCTTGCGTGGATTATTGTGTTATGTCTGTCTTGAGCTGCCCTTCCCTCCTCCAGTATATTCTTTATACTGTGGCCAGAATTACCTTTTGAGCAAGCAAATTCAACCACTGTCATCCTTTACTCCCAATAAAGTTCAAATCCCTTAATGTGGCATCTAAAATGTAAATTGCTAGTTTCCCACCCAAAGTTCACTGTTTTCTTGTTCTTTAGTAACAAAACCATGATTTTATCGAGATGGCCCTGTGCCCTGCCCAAGGAAAATCCCGGCCTCCCCAGTAGCCAGGTGCTGCTGAGCCGAGTGACAGGTGGTACAGAAATCAGATGCGCTGGAAATCCAGTGACTTGAAAGGGTGACTGCCTTTCCCAAGGCCAGAATTTCCTTTCTTCTAGAAAACTGTGTCCTGTGTCTATGCAACGTCTCTAAATGAAATGTTTCTCATGTCAGCAAGTTCTAGTCAATAGGGGAAGTAGATGCTACTGGTTAGAACTTCCAAAAATGCCCCTTGAGCTGGGAAGAGACAGTGGGCTGGACCTTTTTTGCTAGTCCCCAATTTCTTCTGTTTTGTGTGGGTTCCAAGGACACCACAGCTGCAAGTCGCCTTAGACATGAAATACCAACAAGGACCCGAACCACATGCCTGGGTTGGCTGAGCAAACAGAGCCAAGAAGGACCCGGATGCCCAGTAGCAATGGAGTGGCCACACAGCCCTGTACTTTGGACTTCTTTTATATGAGGAAATAGATTTATAGCTTAAGTCACTGATGTTTTATTAGCAGTAAAACAGAAGCTGGACACAGACTTCAAAGCATTTCATGACTTAAACTCTGTCAGTCTTACCTACCCTTCATCCTCCTCCGATGCAGCCAAGCTGAATGTTTTCAGCTTCTCAGGGTTAAGTTCTTTCCACTTAAAGTCTTCCCAAATTGCTTTTTCTGCCTAGATTCCAGCCCCCACCTGACTCCTACTCATCCTTCAGATCTCAGCTTAAAAATCAAAAACCAAATGTTAATCAATGACACAAGCTCGGTTAAGACGCCCTTATTTTCCCACACCACGCTAGTTCCTTGTCATGTTAGTTATTACACCGTGAGCTGTGGTGTTTACTTGATTTCCTCCTCCAAGAAGGCAGGGATAAGGCCTGTCTTATTCAAAACTGTATTCCAAATCCCCAGCACTGATCGAGGAAAGGCCTGGTGGGGATACATATGGTGGTGGTTAGAGAGCTAAGGAAATACAGTGGGTTTGGTATCTTTGCAAGGTGAAAAATGAAGTGGCATGGTCAGCTTATTATTACTTGTTTATTATTTATGCCATGCCCTGTTCCAAAGAGGATAATAGGAAGCAGGATGGCTGGGATGCCATCTCACTGGGAACGCTAAGGGGCTCTCGTCCACTTAGACACATGGGCTTAGGAGACTACCGGAAGGCTGTGGAGCCTTTGGGGAGGCAGGAGAGCCAAGAAGGCAGCGCCATCGTGTCTTGCCTCGTCTGCCAGCTCCTCACGGCCAGCCCTACCTTAGGAGTGAACTGGTGGGCAGTGGACGGTTGCGGCAGAGAAAGGTTAGCAGGAAAGCAGGAGAGGGTTATTCCCAATGAGGTTCACCGGCCGCCACCAACTGCTCCCTCTGGCGTGTCCCGCAAGTCAAGAGTCTGATTTTCTCTGAAGGGCTCTGGCTGGGACTAGGCTCTCACGCGGAGAGAAGTCAGCTCCATCAGTCTGTGGGAGGGGCCCACTGCTAGCTGCAGGCTCCGGGCTCTGCCCCTCCATCACCTCCATCCTCCTCATCAGACTGTGCCAAGGGCGTGTCTGCTCCACCGTCACTGGGATTTGGGCTGTGCAGGTCAGTGGAGGAGTCAGAGGATGCAGAGGAGGAACGGGACGTGGTCCTGTCTGGAGCGGGCATTGACAGGCTCAGCTCCTCTGGATGGTCGTCCATCCCTGCCCAGAGAGAAAAGCGGGTTAGGGCCACAAATAGGGCTTCTGAGGAACCTTAGAGATGTCCATCCAGGAGAGACTGGAGCCCGAAGAGGGCAAGGGCTATCCAAGCCACTGAGCCAGCCCAGCAGAGATCCAGCGCCCTGAGCCCCATCAGCTCCTTCCATTCACTACACCACATCTGGGCTCTCGAGTCAGGTCAATCAACCCAAGGGTTCAAGTTCTACCTACGTCACTGTCACCTGCTTGCTACTGAGTAGCTTCGGGCAGATCTCTTTCCCTCTCCAGCACTCTGCTGCCCCTCTGTTGAAAAGGGACACTAAGCTCCAGAAGGATTTTGAGGATGAAAGTTAAGAATGTATCTGAAATATCTGGCACATAGTAGGCTACCAATAAACAGTAGCGGTTTTGTAAGAGGATCTTATAAGTTAGAGGGTTTTGGAGTCAGCCAGTCAGTGTTTGAACCTGCCTTTCCACTCTTTGGCTATGTGACGCTTCTTCTAATTGCCTTCCTTCTAAAACGTGGATAACACCACCTGCCTAAGTCCATTGTAAGGACTGAGATGATATATGTAGAGTTCTTCTAGCACAGGACGAAGAGACCTAATCAAGGGCCCAAGAAATATTTCTGGTATCCTTAAGATGACCCAAAAATGCTAAGTTGTCTAATGAAAATATTTACATTTTTACATTATTTTAATTACATTAATTTCACTGAGATGAAGTAACAAAGACTAAGGAGGTTCTGATAGTCCTACACTTTTAGACTGGGGATCTGTAACCCAGTTCCCCTCAGGGTCAACTTCCTAAAATCAGCAGAGACAGCTCTTTCTTTGGCAGAAACGCCCACTTCCAGCCCCGGAGTGTCCGCTTCTCCTGTCCGGTCTTGCGGTCTCACTCGGAGCTGACATCCGTCTCTGGCTAACTGGTGCTCAGGTTCTACGCAGAGGGGCATACCCGATGTCTGGGGGGTCGGTGGAGGATCTTCGCAAGGCAGGAACACATCTGCTCCGTCCTGATCCCCAAGGTCAATAAATTCCACTTGCTCCAGTGTGTCCACATTCACTTCCATGGATGAGATACTACCTATGGGGGCTGCAGATTCAAGAAGGGGGCAAGTCAGGGGAGGCCCATGGGGTGGCTGGACATACCTCAGGTCTGGACATAAAAGGGGAAGAAAACAAGAGGAAGGAGCCCCCAAGACTCGGGACCTACAAGATTTCGTCCCCACCCTACCCCAGCCCCTCTCCCTGGGACTTAGCACTTACGTCTCTGTGATTCGAGATGCAGGTGGGACAGGGGGAAGACAAATTCTGCGTCTGGTTGCAAAATGTCCTCAAAGAACTTCTGCCGCTCCCGAAGGCGGAGCTGCTGGCGCTCCAGGGCTGCCCGGGGGTTAGGGTCCATGTCAGCTCCTGGAGGTGGAAGAGCAAGCACAGCTATGAAGTTGAGAGGGAACACGCTGGGGGCCTGGGGAGCCCCCTGCAGCCTGCACCCCAGCAAGGTCGTCTCTGGTTCCAGCCTGGACACCCCTGGAATTGGTTACCACCTTCCCCTTCCCGGGAACAAAGTCCATGACCACAAACTTCAAGGCTCATGCAGGGGGGGTGGACCCCTAGCTCTACAAAGGAGATGCCAGTTCCAGGCACGGCAAAAAGAGGCTCCTCAGTATGCAGGGAACACAGCCAATGGCCGGCTGTCAGGCCCCGCTCGGAGGGCCGGAGGGCCAGGGCCGGTCCAAATAGCGGAGTCCCTTTTTCTATTTAACAGGCACAGCACCCCATGAAGGTAGGGAAGAGGGGAGCACAGACGCCACCTCCCCAACCCCACCAATCCCAGCTCTCAAGTCACAGACCCAGCTCTCAGCCGTGGCTCTGTCCCGAAGGAAATCCCCTTCCCCGCCCGGTCACCCCATCTGAAAATGGCATCGCTGTCCCACTTGCCTCAAGCCGGAGCGGGGCCTGCAGAGGTGCCCCGCACCCCGGAGCTCCAGCCCGCGCGGGAGCTATTCTGGGGACCACCCTCTCCCCCGTGAACTCCCACAGCGCTCTGTTTGTGCTCCTCGCCTCCGACTGTCTCCCTCCCCTGGCTCCCCGCTCCTCAGCGAGTGGCCACTGGAAGGGCGGGTCCTGGGTCGGTTCGGCCCAGGCCTCCGGACTCCGGGGCTGAGAGCTTTCCAGAACCCCAGCGCGGGCCAGGCCGGTGCATTCATTCCCGGCGCGCAACTTCCTTCCTGGCGCGCCCCGCGAGCCCATCTCCCGCGGGCGCGCCCCCGGGCCGGCCTCCCGCCTCGAGGATCCCGCGGGCCGAGACCCCGGCTCCGCTCCACGGGGCGGGCCGGCCTGGGGGACCCCAACCGCGCCCGCGCGGCCGCGGGGGGCCGAGCAGGAGGGAGGCGCTGCCGCGGGCTGCTGGGAAAGACTGTCCGCGCTGCCGCCGGGTCACCGGCTAAAAATAAAAACACGCCGGGCCCTCGCGCAGCGGGCGGAGGAGGGGGAGAAGCAGGAGGGGAGCTGCCCGCGCCCGGCGCTCCGGGCGCCCCTTCTTTCTCCCCTCCCCGGGCCCCTCCATCTCGCCGGGTTGGAGGGGCGCCCCCGGGCCGCGGGAGCGCGGGCTGGAGAGGTGCGGGGAGCTGTCTGTGCGCCCGGGGGTGCCGGGGCGGGCGGCCAGGAGATGGGGGGCCGGAGGCTGCCGGGGCGGCGGGGGCTGGCGAACCCGAGCGCGCCTCCCGGCCTCCGCCCCACCCGCTCCCGACTCCGCGCGAGCGAAAGAATTCCCTAAAAAAGGCCACGCCGCGTCGGCTGGGGAAGGGGGAGGGGGCGCCCCCCACGGCCGTCCCCCGGGCGCTCCCGGCCCCTCCCCGGCCCCTCCCGCGCACCTGCGCCCCCGCCGGCGCCCTCACCTGCGGCGCCCCGCGCCCCCGCCGCCTCGGCGCGCCCGCGCGGGACTCGGGGCGGGGGCGTGGGAGCCGGCCGGGCGGGGCCGCGCCGCGGGTGTCCCCCGGGACCGACGGGCCCCGGCGCCGCGAGACGGCGGCGGGAGGCGGAAGTGGGGGAGGGGCGCCCGCGGCCCCCGCGCCCCCCGCGCCCCGCCGCGCCCCGCGGCCGCCCGGAGCCCCTCCGCGCGCTCAGCTCGCACTTCCAGCGCGGGCAAAAAGTTCCCGGCGCGCATCCTGCCCCTCGCGCCCGCCGCCGCCCGCTCCCCGCCCGCCCGCGCGCCCCGCTCCGAGCGCTCCCTGCACTTGCCGCGCCCCGCCCGCCGCTGCAGAGCCGCGCGGGGACACACGCGGGCTCCGGGCCCTCGCGCACTTGCTGCGCGCCCACTCCGGGGAGCGCCGGAGCTCCGAGCCCACGCCCCGACTCCCGGGCACCCGCGGCCGCTCGCCGGGCGCACGTCTCCGGGAGGCGCGCTCGGGGGAGAGGCGGGGGCCCCGCCGGCGGGGAGGGCTCCGACCCGGTGCCACCCTCCGGGCAGGTGCCCCGCGGCGGAGGCCCCGACCCTGGAGCTCACCCGGCGGCAGCCCCTGGCTCCTGGCTCCGGGTCTGGGCAGAGCCGACGCCCAGTCTCGCCGCGATCTGGGCGGGGTGGGTGCTGCGACGGGGCGGGTCAGGGCGGAGGGGTGGGCCGCTGCCCCGCGCTCCCGACGCCGGCGGAGCGCCAAGCGCTCCGGGGCTCTGAGGGGGCGCCGCACGCCCCGGCCCGCGGCGGGTGGAGAGGGGGCGCAGAAACGGCGGGCGAAGAGGGGAAAGGCCTGCCCCCCGCGCGGAGCTTCTGGCTCAGACCAGCGGCAGAAGTGCCCAGGCTGGGAGCTCCGGGACCAAGACTCGCCGCCGGTTCTCTTCCTCCTCCCTCTTCTACCCTGTGCTGCTGGCTCCGGGGCTGCGTGGGTCTGTCGGGGATGCTCCCGGGGTCGCTCGACCCTTCATTCAACAAACGTCTGAGAACAAATCAGGAGCTGGGACTCATCCACACAGCCTCCCTGTTCTCTGCCACAGTTAAATACACCTCCATTTCCCGTGACTATTCGTGCTAAATGTCCTCCCAATCCACCGCTCCTGCACGGTTCCACCACCACATCGCCCTGGGCCCCTGCAGAAGCTTTCACCTGGGTTCTCTATACGCACCTCCGGCATCTCAGTTCCCCACAGAGCAGTCAGTCATCATTTCACATCACAAGTCTGATGTGTCATCGCTGTTTAAATCCCTCCATTGTTAGAATCAAATCTGAGCGCTGATACCTGAGCCTTGAAGAAATTAGTTCAACAAGCCGAGCAAAGGGGGGAAGGGCGTGTGCAAAGGGATCGAGGTGTGGAAGGTCATGCCACACTCAGGTTTCCCTGTCAGGGCGCCAGGATTCTGTACAAGTACCCAAAGCACTGCCTCTTCTGTTGTTACTGGCATCTCAAAACAACCCTGCGAGATCAACACAGCAAGCTGCTCTCTCACTATTTTACAAGCGAGCAAGCTAGTTTGTGGGAGGCCCCAAGTGCAGCAGTTAAGAGCACAGGCATTGTAGTCAGATTCTCTTGGGTTGTAAACCCAGCTCTGCATCAATCCAGCGGAAGTGTAAAACACTTAACTTCTCTGATCCTTGACTTCCTTGCCTACTAAATAGGATTAATTTAACTTAATCAATCCCTATCTGTTATAATTCATATAAGATGCTTAGTGCAGGATGTGGGCACTCTGGAGATGCTCAATAAACATTAGCTGTTTTGATTACAGTGGGTTCTGAGAAGGGGAGGAAACTGCTTTCTTGTACAAATTTCTGAAATTATAGGAAGTATGCCCTAATATTTAACACTTCTACAGAGCTGATTTTGTACCGGTCACATTTATAAGTGTTTTTGCATATGTTAACTCTTTTAGCCCTCTTAACAATCCCATAGGGTAAGTACTATTATTATTCTCATTTTGCAGATACAGAAACGGGGACAGAAAGGTAAGGGACTTATCCAAGACCACACAGCTAGTAAGTGATGGAGCTGGAATAGGAACCCCGATAGGCTGCCTCCAGAGACTGTGTCAGCCTGTTCCCTTCTCATCCTGTTGCAGTTTTCAAATTTCAAGAAATGTTTTGGTCAGTCTGATTCTTATTCCCCATTAATGGATGAAGCAGATACTCAGCCCCATTTCCTAGCATACAAGAATGAGGTCAAGTCAGGAGCACAGTGGCTGAGAGCTCAGCCCCCAAAGTTACTCCCCGGCTTTCAGGCTCATCCCTGGGAACAGGACTCCATGGGCTATTTTGAGCTGTCCCCAAGACAGTGAAATATCACAAACCTCTGTCCCTTCTCCTTGTCAGATATTTTTTACATTAAGGGGAAAGAGAAGGGGGGGAAAAGCACCCAAGCTAGGAATAATTCAGGGAGCTAAACTAGAAGGGTATCAGGTAAGAGAAAGACCCAGAGCGCAGATCCAGGAATTTTTAAAAGGAAGGGTGAAAAAGAAGACAACTTAGACTCTGGCTTCCATCTCAGATGTAGAAAGTGAGAGGAACACAATTACCACATGATTAATAATTTAAGAAATTTTAGGTAATCTATAAAATTATAAATTTTGTTGAACCCGGGGGAGAGATAAGGTTGCTGAGCAACAACAACAAAAAAAAACCCTGCGTTCCACAGACAGGGGCCTCCAAGAACAAATAAGATGCAGCCCCTGGCACACTTGTGAAGTGGAAGATGAGTCTCCATACAAGCAGGTAATGAGTTCAGTACAGGTTTTATTGTAAAGGCCCACTGTGGCTAGCAAGAGAATACAGAATCTGTGGAATCATTGGTTAAAAGTGTGTAATTCAGTGGCATTAAATAAAAAGGAAAAAAAAGAATTACAGAAAATTTCTCACCCAAGAAGTTATATGACCTGAAGTTATATGATTAGAAGACAACAGAGTGACATCTTTAAAATGCTGAAAGAAAAAGCTATCAACCTGCAATTCTACAGCCTGCAAAAATATCTTTCAAACAGGAAGGAGCTATAAACATTCTCTTCCAGAGAACAAAAATAAAAAATTCATTACCAGTAGATCAGCACTATAATAAATAGTCAAGAGAGTTCAAGAGGCAGAAAGGATATGATACCCGGGTCAACAGAGAGAAACTAAGAGGTCCTGGAATGAATAGAATGGTAAATATAAGAGACTTTTTTGTTTTAATCATCTTAAAAGAAAATTGACCATCTGAAACAAAATAACAATAAATTGTGGGATAATCGTATCTAAAAAAGTAAAATGTATGACAATAACAATAGCAAAAGTGGTGGAATGGGGAAAAGGAAATACACTGTTTAAGGATCCTTATACTATATAAGAAATAATTATAATATGAAGATTGTGATTGAAGATACAAATGCAAAGGCAATCACTAAACATTTTTTTAAAAGAGGTATAAAAAAAGAGTTATAGTAATACGGT